CACTTTGAATTTAACAAAACATCGGTAGTTAAGCGAATTCTACTGAGTTTTAATTATGTAGTTACACTTATTTTAGACTTGCCTTTAGTTTCTCTTCACGATAAAGATTAGGAGTTTGCCGTCACAAAGATAAGTTGCCATCAGAAAGTTTAATAAGTTTACCGTCACAAAGTTAAGTTTAGCTTAATGTAATTAAGTTTGTCGTCACAAAGTTAAGTTTAGCCGTATCAAAGTTAAGCTTGACGCCTATATGTCCTATGTAATAAGCTGTCCGTTGATAATGACGTTGATAAGTTAGTTTGCCTTCACTACATTAAGTTTGCGATACAAAAGAAAGCAATTTCCGTGTCGTAAAATAAAAGTTGCCGATCTCGAAGAATTACATTTGTCATCATCCACAAAATCAGGTTTTTCATAATCATTGTATGTTTACTATCGCAAAAAAAAAACGGTTTTCCATCTTAAGATTAAGTTTGCGATCACGCCTCAAATGTGCGATTTTTGGATTTGCCGGTGGCCCTTGTGGGCTTCCGTACGATCCGGATTCCATGCAGTTTGGGTCAAAGTGTTGGACTATAAGAAAAAAAAAATTTTCCTATCAATTTGGAACCCATTAAACATACCGCTACAGCATACGTATCCGTAAATTCCTCCATTTTGTGTAACAAAGGATTCCTCTTACATTCACCAAATTACGGCTAGTCTTCGAAGGTCAAGCGGTCTAACAGCTGATAGTCCGCATAAGAAGCCGCAAACGAGATTTAGAGTGAACAGCTTGATACTGCAGAGGCGTTGCAAACGTGTTATAATCRGTACACCAAACTGTCAACACTGAYACAATGGACGGAACGAAAAGCTCGAAGTTTCCAATATCGAAGACGTCTTACCATATAAAAATTTGCGATTTCAACTGTAGGTAGGGGCTAATTTGTACGTGCTGTAGTCTAGGGAACCTTTATTTTTCCTTAATTTGATAGCTTGGATATGCTTGTCGAATACTACTAGTTGTTTGAGCATACTAAATAATAGTACTGCTAATACGCAATATGTATGATTTCTAAAGCGACCAAATATACGATAAACATTTTACAGTTACGAAATCGTTCTCGTGTAATGTCATAATGTGTAATCACCGAGTTATATAAGCCATGTAGCTCTCAGTGTGTTTGTATTCGCAAATATTTTGTTTGTTTTTTCTTCGTCCATATACTTAGTTAAAAATCATTGTTTTGAAATATATAAATTAGCAATGCCTAATATTTCTCAATAGCTTGTAGGTAAATCAGTTTTACAAACTTCGTCGTGCCCTAGTTGTAGATCAGTTTTCTTTTCCAGCAAACCCTAATTGATGACATATATTTTCAAGAATTCCCGCTGAGAAAGCAAGGAATTTACTTGTCTTTGGTGTCGTTAATCCCCCACAAAAATGCAAAAAACGCGACTTTCAAAGACAACAGTGACTCTAACTTTTAATTGCGGCTTGTTATGAGTCCGTGCTCGGCAGTTAGTTTGGGTATCCAATCAGATGGCTTGATTTTGTGATTGAGTTGGTTTATAATACTGTAAACAATTTCTTCAAATTTTCTCAGAATGTACAATTTAAAAAAAATATTTAAGCTTCTTGTAAATATAAAAGAATCGATATGCCTTATTATGCTCTATTTTTCACGATTTCGAATATTAAACACTAAATACAACCTGGGTGAAAGCCAAGAGCTATAATGTTGTTCGAAGAACAGCAAGTAGGCAACTTTGATAAGCTTCGAATGTTTTTTTCTAACGCTACAAAAGGTATTTTATTTCAGTGCCCGTCACAATGCTCATAAGTGGATAAAATTTATCTTTAGAAATATGTCCCGCCACAACATTTTGATTTTATCCCCTGCGCTAATCTATTAACAGTAAAACAAACAAATTACACGATGCGGGACTTTCCCATTTCGTGGAAGAGGTCGGATTCCTTGGACTTCCCGCGTAAAAAAAAAAAACTAAAAACATGCTTAGCTTTTTTAGACTAATKCATTCAAAATTTAAGAATGTATTTCATGTCTCATTCGCACAAAATTTGTTTTAACAAAATGTATATGCAGTTTCCTTCTGATAATCATGATCATGATAAATTATTTAAAAAGGGGTTTCCCCTTGTGTTGGTGGCTTGTAACTGTGTTAGTGGATCTCGCATTYGTTAACTCTCTTCGATAGGCTGTAGATCTGTCGGAAATACAATAAATTGTAAGACAAAATAAATATWATTTCAAATCAAATGAGACACCAGATGTCAATAGCTCGAAAATAAGATATGATGTATTTGTCCCCGAATAAAATGTGCTACCAGTGCATTTTATTTGAATTCATTCATCTGTGTCCAAGGGGTTTCCCCTAAATGTTTGCTATAATAGAAGAAGCAATAGAGGAACACCCCACATAACAGAAACAACCAGGCAAACACAAATCACTGTATACAGAGGAATATATAAATCGCACTACTTTTAGGTAAGTTGAAATATTTTTTKCACAAATCTTGCTGGTTTACTAGACCAAATGCTATTGATGACTAAGTCTGAAATAAAAAAGATGTCTCTCAGTAGTGATCAGTCGCTTAGAAATAAAGAAAGGCTTTATCAAAACTATGATACATACAAATTTAAATCCAGACTGTTTTTTCCTTCGCTACAAAGTTAAACAAATTGACGTGCTAAATTATCAAACTGATTTTGTAATTTTCTTACGAAAAGATTTGTTTCTTTTCGATTTTTTTAATTCATCGTCTCTGTAGATAGAATAATGGCAAACGCTAGCGAATTCATGGAAAACAAAGACTTTGGTCAATTCGGAGAAATCCCAGTGCATATTAGATGTTGTTATGCATGCCACGTGTTTATGCACGTCGCGCCATTTCTCGGACTCTTCGCCGGAAATCGACAAGCTGTCATATGCCTTATGATCAAATCGCTTTATTTCGAGGATCAAATTCAATATTCTCGGAAAAAAACTATATGATGATGAATTTGCATATTTTTTGGAACAGAAGAGTAAATAATCCAATACAGTTTTGTAGACTTTTTGAAGTCTAAGTTTAAAAAAAATAATAATAATAAATAAATAACGGAAGAAAGCACGTCAATATATTAAAAAATCTAAAAGCAGAAAAAAAAAAACTCTCAGAGGTAAAAAAAAGACTATAAACTAAAGCACTTTCTATTTTTCACTAATTTTATTGTTGCTAATCATGGCAATCACATGCGGGTTGTCAATTGATGTATGGCTTTTATAAATTTTCAGATTGTCGACCTACTCGTTACTCATTTGATGCAGCAAGCATAAAACGAATTCTCATAGTAAATAACAAAAGCAAAAACAYCGCARCTTCAGAAAGAATGAAAGCCACACCGAAACGACTTCCAATGCGATTATGGATTAAGAAAAAGCTTGATGAGGGTGCTTATCCCGAAATGAAATGGCTGGACAAAGAAGAAGGGAAATTTCAAGTCTCATGGAAGCAYGGCTCAAGACAAGACTGGCACTACACTGATGTACGAGTCTTCCGTGAYTGGGCCTTATACACYGGAAAGTTAAACCCAGATACAAATCCTTTCGATGCAAATACAATAAGAAGGTGGAAGACRAATTTCAGRTGTGCATTAAACTCACTACCCGAGATCGAACAGGTACGCAACGAAAGCGACGGGAAAGGGAAAAACGCAAGGAAGGTTTACATCTTCAGACGACAGGCAGCTACAAAATCAAAATCAAGGAAACTCAAAGGTAAAAGCTGCAGACAAATTGGAAAAAGTTGTGCTTACGATCAATCGATGAAATTTTGAGATTATCATTGTGTACATGGGAGATATAAATAATGGTTTAACTCAAAATAGCTATGATTCGAAAGTATTATGCATATTCATTCAGATTCAAAAGTCTTGTTTACGAAAAAAACGTTGCGAAACAACGATAGTCATTCGAGTGTACATGCATTCTGAAAGCATTTCACCTCAATTGATAATCATTATTGTATGTMTTAGAACACCGAAAGCAGTTAGTAGCAGCGAAAAGAACAGAACTGGAGCCAGATGACCGACAAATTATAGAGGTACAACTCGATCATCAAAATCATTTGACAAATTAAAATATATTTTTTAATGATGACTATGATAGCATATTCAGTTGTAGAACTTTTTGGAGACATGTATCGATGTCCTGTCTTGATAGCTTGATGCTGAAGTTTGACGCTTATTTCAGATTGTTGATGAAATGTGCTGGTCTCCGTTATTAATCCAGCAATCGCCAAAAGCCGACGCCGAATTGACACAAGTCAGAGATCTCTTGGAAAAAGGTAAGCAAATTCAATTTCAAGGAAGGAATGTACTATGCCATGAACTAATTTAAACAAAAACTTAAAAYATGATGCTTTCCGCTCGCTACCAGTGAACGCAATTTTGAAGTTTCATTGCCGGCTCTTTCGGCGCGGTCTTTTCGGCAGACCTATTTATTACTTGTATGTAGTTTAATGTGGCATCCGACTTCTTTGCATCCTATATATCGATTAACCTGACCGTGTACACATTTTTTTCTGTAGATCAGACCCCGTATCAGCCTGTATGGATGACATGGCCGCCGTATCCTATTGGAGCCTGCTAAGCATGTCGGGTGGGATCGGTTCAGCAAGTCTTGCCTGACCGGAGTAAGGCGATATCTATTATAAGTCCTCACAAGCAAGTTGGTATTATCCAAGCAAGATAGGATTCGAAGAGTATCGGATAGATGGTTTAGGGATTAAAGAAAAACTTACAATTATAACATAATGAAAGCTTTTGCATATCAACGCTCTAAATGAAGTGGAATGTAAAAAAAAACTTCAAGTGATGATACATAATATAAAATTAAGGCTTTTTGTTATTTTATACATGCAAAAGGAGTCCACTAACATGCAAACTACATTTACTGTTGATCAGCTTTAAAATATCTTCAGCTTTGAAATTAGGTTTACTGTGGTGGTAGTGAGTTCAATAACTTTAGCAGCAGGAACAGGAAATAAGCTTAGGTAGTAAGTGGTAATACATTGTAATTTATCTATTGACACCAGCATCATAATGCCTTTAATAACTAATTGTATATATGTTAATAAATTTCATAAATATATCATGGCTATATTTTATTTCTCAAAATAAACCCGAGTCAAGATTCAGCCGAATATGCCGACCATTACTGTATGTCTTGTCTCGAAACGGCAGAGACATTAACTAACCCCCTTGTCTTTATTTTTATGAAATTCTTCTTCTTCCTTCATCTTGTACTTGTACTAGTATCATCCAATCTATTGGGAGACTCATTTCAGAACTTAACCAAGTCGAGATTAAATGCATATCTTCCTGAAAAATTCTTAGAAAGTATTCCTTGCCTGGGGAGTTCTTTTTTTTTTCGGCTCCTATCCCAATAGATGGGCGCCAAAATTTACGTTTTAGCTAATTTGCATAAAAGTCAGAAATCCAATTTCAAGCTGCAGAAAGATCAAGCCCATAAATGAAAAGAGCTCATAACTGTTAGCAATTCCTCAAAATTTGAAGGCAATTGGTTAAATATTTCAAGAGATATCAAGCGACGAATCTGCAAGATTTTCTAAAGAAACTGACCGTGGTTGGCATTTAATTTTCCCAACCACGGGAATGTTTTATATACATTTTGTAGTTTTCAAATGCCGATATCTCGAAATATAAAAAAAGGGTTTGCCCTAAAATCTTCAGGTTTTGCTGACATTAATATAATCATGAATTATATGAGTTTAGATTGCTTATTTTTTGAATTTTATATTTTGGATGTAAACAAACTACGTCATTGTATGCCAACCTATTAACAGACAATGGGAAGATGAAGTATAGTTTAAAACACGATCTCGAGTGTTTTAAACGGCTTAAAAAACTCCAACACTAATTTGAAACTCAAATCCGTTAAAATTTTTGGAGAAATTGCCGTACAAATATGTTCAGAGATAAATGGGGCAAACCGATCATGCGCGAATCACTTTACAAAGCACTCTTGTCATCCCACATTGAATACGCATAAAGTAAAAGAGAAGCGCTCTTGGCTGTTCACTGAAATCGGTTGACATCCTGCATTGGTCAATGACCAGGTTTCAAACCTGAGACCTTTGCTAGGGTCATGAGCCTTTATATCTGATAAAGGTCACCCTTATTAGTATTCTTTTATATAAAGAATACTAATGAGGAGTGTTTTATCAGATATAAAGGTCCTTGCATGTGACCAAATAGGCTCATTCTATTGGCCTAGTAGCTCATTAATTATGTATGAGTTTTTTAAGATAATCTATAACTTATTTTCTGAAATCAAGCAAACCTTTGATACTGGTATAAAGAAGAACACAAAACGGAAAAATAACGGGTTAAGTTATGTTTTGWCTCATATTACGGTTTGCATAACATATTGCCACTCATTAAGCTTAACTACATTGAGACCTTTATGTTTGACAGCTTGGTGGCTTTGTAGATGAAAAAATAATATTTCTTTATGTACAGCATTAAACAAACACAATTTATAATTGAGAAAAATCGATTTGATTTTCCTTGACCGGCCATATACAGCTTTTCCACGTAACGTGTTTGATAATTTGGTAATGCTATTTTTCCAGTAGTTGAATTATATTAATTCATTACTATTCATGAAGCATTCTGAATGGGTGATGAAACATTTATTTCAGGAAGGAATTAACGAGAAACTACATTAACATTTGAATGCAGCTCCATCTTTAAACATTTAATGATTACTCTAAAAAGGAAGTGTAAAGCCTTCGAATCTATAGGTCCTTAAGCGAGAAACTTAATTATTAACCAATGTTAATCACTCTTATATTCTAACTTATAATTCTGATGTAAATCGTTAATAACTGTAGACGACTAAGCTTGTTTAGAAGTTGTGGACACAAYGAGAGCTAGTCCATTTTGCTTTTTATTTCCATTTATTTGTCTAGCTCATTTCGCTTTATCAACGAGTTTATCAGATTTATTTTCAAAGACAATTCCAACGGCTGTTACGAGAGATTTCAGTGATCTGCAATGGGAAAACAAAGTGACATCCCATTTTGTACTGGCGCCTTCTCGTCACCTTATACCAAAGAATACAAACAGCAAAACAGCTTCACCTATTTTAAAACATAGTGGTCTTCTACCTTATACCTCGAGTAGTACTGTACAACTAAGTCGTCAGCAAAYAAGTATTTATCCGACGCCAAGTAAGACTGCTTTTGCACTCTTTACCACAACTAACAAGAATACCGGAGAAAAAGAGATCCAAACGACAACAAGGAATGGGAAAAAAAGAGAAAAGAAAAAAAGCGAAAAGATGATGAAAAGAAAAATGGAAAAAAGAAAAGAAAAGAAAAGACAAAGGAARACAAGAGAACAGAAAAAAAGAGAAAGTACTTTAAAGTGCCCTGCATATTGCTCTTGTAAAACATGTGCTCATAAGATCAACACAATGGATCTAAAGTGCAAAACGTTCGATTTGAATACTCTTTTGAAGAAATTGAGCATTCCCAAGGAAAGAGTGTGCGCGCTGTAAGTATACCTAAAAAGTCATTTCAGCTGGAATTATATCGGATAAGTCTGACTTGTATTTATTGCTTCAAAGAAATTTGGCTGGCAACAACATATCATCTATCAAGAAGAAAGCGTTTAACGGATTTACGAGCCTCAAATATCTGTAAGTAAAACTAAGTGAGGTTGAGAAAGTATGATTGTCGCTAGCTTTTTTATTTAGTCTTCAAGCTGCTTAAAATATCCCGTAAAAACATGAACTTCAAAACTACATATGGTTATAATGTACACCTGTTTTCACTAGACTAAATAAATAATGACAGTCATGGTATATRAATACAAGGAAAATTACATTTACGAGATAACAAGTAGCTCTAGAAAATTAAGATTATTCTTTTTCTATCATTATTTTTCTTTTTTAATTCTGATTTTTTTTTCTCTCTCTTTTTTTGTCAAAAACACTTAACTTAATTCACCAGTCTTGTTACGACTACATAATATATGATTAAGCAGCGAAAATGATTTTTTTTATTTTTTTAATTATGTTTTGATCAAGATCTTATCTCTAGCTATAGCTAAGTACAAGTGCACCTTTTTAAAAAAGTCAAATATGGGCCATTTTGTTCTGCAAGTTTGACTACATTCAAGCTAGGCTTGATTTTTAKTAAATCTCTCTTCAGAATTATATTTCAATATTCAATATTTTGTTTTTGTGTCCATATTCAATTTATTTTTTATTTGATTATTAATTTGTATATTGTGTAATACTCCCCTTGACTGTATCTGCTCTAGTTACCTGCTATAATGTTAAAAAAAAGATTTCTTTAAACTATTTTAAAAATACATGTCATGTTAAGAATATCACTCACACTAGACTTTAGTCCTTTTACCTCATTGCATTAATGAACCCCCATTTTCGCACTAATATACTAATGTTATTTTACACCTAGTTTTGGACGTTTTCTTGATTGGAAATATAATACTCCAATTTCGAGTTCTGGTTTGCTCTGTGTTAGCCTCAAAACCAAGTAACATATTCTTTTGTTTTATTGATAGCCTGTGAAAACGCATGGAATTTGAAAAGAAAGACAATAGAATTGATTTGAAATCTCACACTTTTATTCTCACAATTAGGAATATTTTGCGCACTGCAAATGAGGCTAACACAGAGCATTGGAGAATTCGAAACTGGATTATTAGTTAGTGATGYACTTTCAATTGCTGTATGTCATTATTTATTGTTGGTCGAGAGCATACCATCCAACTTGATATGCACCTATTTAGCCAAAAGAAGGTTATCCGGGAGAATGRCAAAGTGCTTGTCAGRGGGAGATTGCACAACCGAAAGGGACTAAGGTTACACTGGTTTGACAAACAAAAGTACACTGTTCGTGATTACCTTGCTTATAATATGATTGAATAAAATTGTGCAATTTGATYGGCTTAGAGGAGTGGTTTTTATCCTTAATAGTGGTATTTCAAATTGCACAATTTTATTCAACCATTTTATAAACAAATAATAGCATGTTTTGTACGTGGAATTTGGGATAAATACCACTTGTGATATTTAAAAATTGTCATTTGACAATGACGTCATAAATATCAAGTMAATTTTGTAAATGACATATCAATATCTAAATAACCAGTTAAATATAATTAAGGCGTTAATGTTCTCCTGTGATGTTATGGTTCATTTTGTAACACATGGTTACTAGTTTTTTTAGTGTCTTTGTCGTCTTTGAATGATTTGAYACCAAATCTCACTTTTTTGGCTACATCGGTATTTTATGGTAAACTTTACAATTTGATGAGTTTTTGAAGTTAAAAAAATYAGAAAAAGCAATCTTAAAAGAATATCCATCATCTTAGGATCCGCCATCTTGGACCACCATCTTGGATTTTTCAAAATCACATTAAAAAAAATAACCATTGAGGAAAATAGCTCAAAACGTATAAAGTGCTTCTCCAACTAACATTTAATGAATAAAAAAGTGAGTTTCGAAGTGTTACTAATGATTTTAACGAAAGTTACTCCCATTACAAAAACGTTATTGTTGCCAAAAAAACTATTATGCTATTGAAGATTCAACAATGGTATTAAGCTCAAATAAGTACAAAATGGATAATAAAACAAGAAATATGCTTTTAAAATGCAAAATTAAGCATATTTCAATGACTTTTTTTGAAAACCTATGTGTCAAAAACTGGATGCCATGGCAACATAGATGGCGATATCAACATAAAATTCATAATATTTACATCAAAATCTGCCCAGATAAATTCTGAAAGTTTCAGATTTGTAACTTTTTTGGTTCGAAAGTTATTGGCGTTTTACTCGAGAGGGGACTCCCCCCTGAACCCTAACAGGGTTAAAGAAAGGCATTTAGAATAATGTTTTATTGTGTTGTATCTCTATTTCTCTTAGTAACCTTGACAGAAACAGTCTTCAGGTTCTAGGTGATGGTATGTTTGGAAGCTTGTCTGAGCTCAATGTTTTGTAAGTATAGTGTGATGTTAGTATAAGTAATAGCATGTATTGTAGTGCTATTTGGGATAAATAGCACGCGTGATATTTCAAAATTGTTAAACAAAATTTGTGACAAATTTTAAAATATCGCAAGTGGTATTTATCCCAAATTCCACGTACAAAGCATGCTATTATTTGTTTATAAAATGGTTGAATAAAATTGTGCAATTTGAAATACCACTATTAAGGATAAAAACCACTCCTCTAAGCCGATCAAATTGCACAATTTTATTCAACCATATTATAATGAGGGAAAACTAAGTTGCTGAGTTCGCTAAAAGTTTCGTAGTTATAACTATGCCATTATGGTGGGGCTTAATTTGTAGCCTCAAAACTTTCTGAACGAAGAGAAAGGTAAAGAAACATTGAAAKTTTTCAATCTATATTACGGCGGCCTYATTATATTGCTCATATTTACCTTTAGGAGCGTGCGGCACAACAACATAAGCAAGTGGAATGGAAATCAACGCAAGGTCATGCCTAAATTGTCACTACTAGACGTTCAGGGAAACCTAGCCTTGAAACTACGAAAGGCATGGTTAAGAAATACTAGCCTTACCGCTATTAGAGGACTGACCATGTCACCATCATGTGTGGAGTGCAACATGACTAGACGAAATGCTACATTACAGCTCGTACATCCAGACAAAATAAACAGCATCTGCAATTACATTCCAAGATCAAGTCACTTGGAATTAAAAGATCTTTTATCAGCATTTGTAGTATTCCGTGGTACTTGCTTGGAGAGAAAGCAATGTACTATTCGTTTTAGTGACGTTCAAGACATAAATAAYCTTTACAGAAACAAGTGCTGGGAAATGCTGAATTCCTTAAAACCCGTTGTCATCCTACTTGGAACTATTTCTATTGCATTCAATCTGGTTGTTTCTATAGTAATCGTTGCTACSCAGTCTCTTCGAACAAATACTACCTCGTTACTGGTCGCTCATAYGTCGTTGTGTGATATCTTTATCGGAGTATACGCCCTTGCTATTGGACATGGACATAGTTTGGTTTCCAAGGGTACAAAAGTATTTCGCCAATGGCGTATTCATATGTGTCCATACTACAGGACATTGTTCATTGCTTGTCAAATMATGGAAGTTGCGACATCGTTGCTGGTCACCACAGAACGTTATCTGGCCATTGTGTTCTGTATGAAACCTTCGATGCGCCTCAACAAAAAACATTTTTGTATTTTGTTAATAATTTTCTGGTTGTTTGCTGTTGTAWTGTGTTTCCTGCTTCAGTTCCACGATGCAGCCATTATTAGAGATAATACTATGTGCATGATAGTAAGATTGGTCACAAAACACRACACTAGTATATTTGTCATCCAAATCATCATGATCATTCTTGTCGYGATTTATATTACAACCATGTTCCAATATTGTCACATCTACTTCGTCGCTCGACGTTCTGCACAAAACATGGGCGTCCGTCGAGAAGCAAGACTGGCATACCGAATCTGCATGATGGTGCTGTCTGGTTTTATATTCTTTGCCATTCCAAACCTCATGACGTTCATCTCGTCTGTTGTCAGTTTTAGTTCATCACAGCAACCTGGGTGGACTTGGATTCAGCAATGGCTGCCACAAGTGCTGCTTGTTTTCAATGCTTGTTTGAACCCGTTCCTGTTTGCGTATCGGAATGAAAAGTTTGTAAACGCTTTGAAACACTTGAAGAACAAACTATTTAATCATGCTGTGTCTGATGTATTTACACTGAACATTCATAAAAGCCAAAGTTATGAATTAGACAATTATAACTGACAAACTTACATCAAAGTTCCCAGGAACGATATTGCGGACTTGAAAAAAGAGACCAAATATAAAACCAATTCCTGTACAGGAGGCCATTTTTTTATACGAATGACACTAATTTYTCTAATTTTGTCGTACAAATCATGTCATAAATAATTATTTGTCTTTCCATGTTCTACCTTAATCTTAGCTATGAAGTATTCTTTAGACCAACAACGTTTCACCAGCCAGTTATAAAAGGACTGACTTTAAAGCACTGGAATCACAACCTATCTCATTGTACCTAGTTGCGGAGACTAAGGCTGTAGTCTAGATCGTGTTAGAAAGTACAGACCAAAGTAGAGAAAAGTTCTTGAGTTGGAATTCCTAACACACAAATACTCAAGGTGCGGAAAGTCTTTCTGGTCAACCTTCTTTAGCCTAAGCTTGTGCCGAACAAATTAATCAAAGTTTGTAATTACTGTACTTGATGAGAACCAATAAACGAGTGGCAAATCAGAACGATCCTTTCCATGTTGCCATTTGAGCATGTCCTTACAATGGTTTACAGCGGAGCTCCCGCGCRGAGCATCATAGCTAAGAAAAAATGGGGAGGGTTCAAACATCGAACTTTTGCCGCGTTTAATCCGATATTGTAAGCTTATGTAGAATATTTTTGCTGAGAAGCTTTCGGTTTAGTTCAAATCAAATGACCTTTACAGGTTATAATAACTTCGTACAACGGAACAATTAAATCTACCGAAGTCAATATTTAATAACTTAATTTAGAGTACGAAATTCTCATATACATACTCTTTCTTCAGCTAAAATGATTAAATATGTTTCTCATACTCATTAATTATTCATGAGGTATCTAGCCAATCCCTGATTGTAATTTGTACCACGTGCAGTAACTGGATACCAGAGGAAGTACTCCTACCTTGTATTCTAGCTTATTTCCAGTTACTTCTACCTTGTTTCCAGCTACTACTATCTTATTTCCAGTTACTTCCACCTTCTTTCTAGTTGCTTCTAGCTTTTTCTAACTAGTACTAGCTAATGATAATCAAAGTATTAGAAATAATCAACTTAATATAGAATTAATTTAGTGAAAAAAGGTCTTTGATAAATGACTCCCTCACGAAACGATCCCGAACCGTCCAATCTATATGCCCCGTCTTATACCATTACACCACCGAGTTTCTGATGCGATTCCTTGGAAGATAACATACTTATAAAACTTATGAATTAGGCTCATTAGGAATGCCATGAAAAGCAAACAAAGACAATTTGAAAAGCTTTTGTTTCAGAAAGCCGTTCGGGAATTGGAAAACAACAAACGGTGCTTCTTTATTCAAAATTATGAAAACTGAAAACCTTGGTTGAGATGCAATAAATCAATATATTTCTGTTATATGTATTTCCTTCGCTTTTTTCCCCTCCCGAATAATTAATGAGTATGAGAAGTCGTTCAAAGTCCTCCAATTCGGACTGGACGGGATTTCAAGTCCTTGCAATTAGTTCCAGTCCTCGGCTAACGCCTCGGACTGGAACTAATTGCGCGGACTTGAAACCCCGTCCAGTCCTCATTGTCGGACTTTAAACATTACAAATAGCGTTTCGCGCGTATTTTTAAACTCCAACTACGTCGCAAATTTCGAATCGATTGCACTCAAATTTTCACAGAAGTATAAGTGACTATCGATAATTCTTATTTATAGATAAATTTGCCAAAAAATCGAAGCTATTTGGATAATCAATGCAAAATAAAAACACCTTCATTTTTCACAGTCAATTTTCTCAAAACTCGTCGCAGAGATTGTAATAAAATTTTCAGTGTCATTTCTTAATAACATAATTGACATTGCCGGATTTCAAGCCAAGTGGGGACTGGGCAAAATCCCCTAATTGGATAAACACGAGATAAGACTTACATAGAAAGAAAGCCCACGTTGAGAAATGCAAAATTCCAAAATCTGGCGTCAATCAGTTCAATAGTGAACTAGTTACGGCCTTTCAAATATTCTAAAATTTCCAAAGAAATGTATGGGAAGCCGTGAATGTGTCCGGATTTTGACCATTTTCCGGACACATTCG